CCTATTTTTAGCGGTTTTTCATAATTTGTAAAAAAAAGAACACCATAGCAAAACCACTAGCTTTCTCGCTCCATCTAAAATAATAATAATAATAATACTTGTATTTAAATATATATTGATTTCCATACTAAGATACAAGCGTACGATAAAAAAAAGAATGAACGGGAAATGGCATATGAAGAGGAGATGAAAAAACTTAAAATGTCTAAGGAAAAGGAAATCGCCAAGATTCAAGCAAATCAAAAGGCCACGCAAGATTTTCAGGCCGCAAAGGATGAGCTAAATGCACTCCGAACACAAGACAAAGTAATTTCACTGATAACTTATAAGACACGAGGTGCATTTATAACAAGTAAAGTGGATGCATAGGTAGAACGAGAGTGGCGACGTAAGGAACACGAAGAGGCTGTAAGAAAAGTAAAAGAAAACGAAGCTTTGAAGGAAGCTCGGCGAAAACAAATTGAAGGACAAAGGGAAAGTTATGCTTTTGAAATACAAAGGGAAAAAGAAGAGTTTGACAAAATTATTAAACTCAACGTAGAGGACATCGAAAGAACCAAAGAATCTGATAGACAAACTAAAATGGTATGATTCTGTTGATTAAAATTATTACTTAATTCAATTTTGATCACAACCCAATGTATTTTAAACTAGAAACTTGATGAACATAGGAAAAATTTACTGAAGCAGATTAGTGAAAAGGAATTGGAAAGAATCAAGGAAAGAAAAAACTTCTTTCAGGAAGGCGTCACATACCAACAAGGAGAAGCTGCCAGGGAAAAAGCATTACGTAATACAATGCAAAAGAAAGTCGATGGGCTTAGGTAAAATATAATTTAATATTTATAAATTTATAAATGTATAATGGATTGCCAATATTATTATCTTAATATTGTTATTTTAGGGCACATAAATTACCGACGAAGTATGTACAAGGCATCGAGAGACAATTAAAATTAAGAGACTAATATTGCAACAATAGTGGTTAATAAAAATACATTTTAATTTATTTACAACTATTATTGTTGAATAATATTATTTATTGAAAGTACCTAAAATAAAATAAAGTAGAAACCATATAATAATAATATGTTCTCATATATTTTTTGTCATACTGGAGTTAAGTAGTTAATTAATTTAGAGATTAAACATTATTTATTCTAAAAAAATAATTTTATTTTTAAGAGCTATTTTCAAATAATCAAAGGAGGAACTCAGTGTCTCAGTTTAAGAAACATTATAAATATACCACGTGTCGACGTGAGGCTAAAAAAATTAAATAATAAATAACATTGAGACGATAGATAACTATATCTATATTAGAACATTAGGTACCTGTATGAAATGTCACTATTATTGTTATTAATTATTATAATTATTAATATTAAACAAAATACAGGTCTTACTGTTCTTTTACTGTTCCGCACTTCCAATGATACAGTTTAATATATTTTATCCGGCAAGTACCTATATTTTAAAAATTAAAAATAAAACTGTACCAACCCAATGTATAAAGTACAGTATTTATATGTTCATCTCTAATGGTATGTAAATAATAATAATTTAAAGCCTAAAATGTATTAGATAATAATAAAAAAACATCACTAATTACGAACATATTCGTAATTATATTTTTATCTAATAAAATATATTTTTAATTAATTTTTTGTGTATAATATTTTAATAATTAATTGTTATTAGGTATCCACCCCTCATCAAATATCACATTAAAATATTGATGTGGTTCTTTCTGATTTAATCTGTCAAAGTTAAATAAATGTCTGAATTTAACTCTTTAAATAATCATAAATGCCTCAGTTATTAACCGGTAGATGGCGTATATGCCTTTTAAAATACGAATATTAATATTATTTGTATCAGAAAAATAGGTAGGTAGTAGTACCATAGGTATCGTATATCTTTAAATGTGTCATAATTGTACAGTATAGTAATTCAGTATACATTTTATTTTATGAACAAAACGATGAATGTGTTAAGAGTTTTACTAACACAAATTGAATTGATAGATAACAGTAAACATTAATAATATAGGTATAAATGTATAATAAAATATACTTAGAAATAAAGGCTGACAAAACGTCTCTTCTCAGAATCGTATTTTGACGTCCGTACTCCATAGTATATTAGTTCATACAATAATGTACAAATATTTCATCAATGAATTCAAACATAAATACATCTAATGTCTTATTCAATGACGAAATACACTCAACACCCTCTACATGTCAGAATGACACCCCTGTTTTCTTTAAACTTCTTTTCGCAGGAAAAACATTTGTCACATCACTCTAAGAGTCGGGTGTTAAGTGTAGCTATAGAAACTATAAAAATTAATTGATCAATTTTTTTTATACAATATTTTCCAATTAATATTACTGTATCACTGATTTTACTCTGTAATAGAATTATAAATATATTTCAATCTTGGCTACAATGAACATTTTTATTTTTAAATTACAGTATTTTTTATAGTCATAATAAAATATAGTGTTACAGGTACATTAAAATTCCACAAACCTAACAACTACGAAAGAAGTTTCACTTCCAACGCGAGTACACGTGACACACACACACACACACACACATACAGACTTAACGTACTCAATGAGATCCACCTATAAATGGTGACGTTGTGAGATCCACCATAAATAATTATTATTTTTATGCGGGACAAACAGTAATTAATTTATAATACATTTATATAAATAGTTTTCAATAATATACACGGACATACTCAATTTATATTTTTTTCCAATGTAGACTTTGCGAGCTCCAGTGTATGTTGGACTAGACACATGATAACTGGACTAAAAGAGATCCTTTAAGTTGTGTATTTCATAAGTTTAGTGAAGGGTCAGCGTTATGAGGTCCATTACACTGTTGCCGTTGTTAGCTAACTTAAATTGTGGGCGACAATGCAAGACGTAGGTACGTAGGTAATAATAATGATAACAATAGACGTATGTAATTGGCAATTTTGTTAAAATTGAGTTGCACATTGAATTATACATTTAAAATATCGAGGAATCGATAGGCGTCATCAAATCGAGTGAAAACATATTACCTATTTCCTATTTCAAAACCGATATTAAAATAATGAGTTGATGAATTACGTACTAATGGCATAATATAGATTTTTTTCAATACCTACAGACTATTTAATCTTTGATGCAAAACGTACCTACTATTATTAATATAGATTTTGTAATATAAAATACTTAATACTTAATAATTTTTAGACTATAGTTAAGTAAGAGTCTACACTATTTTCAGAAATAGTGATGAAGTTGAAAATTAAGAGCTTGAAACTTTAAAGAAGATATAATGATAAGATATAAAGATATAATGATCATTGAGTTATTTTATAATAGTTATTAACTTATAATATCACTTGACACTTAATATATTTTCTATTAGCCTATAGTAGGCTAGTGGTTTCATTTTTTTTATTTAAGTGTTTGATTGTTTGAACATAATTTATTGTTTTTAATGTCAACTTTATTTACTATATTTTACCATTTTACATTAGTTTGAAGGGGTTCCTACTCTTTTATATTTTATTTACCTTATATTTTATTAAGTTGGTATTTTTTAAAATTTATATTAAAGATGTTATATTAAAATATATTATAATATGTAATCCTTTAACCCAGCGGTCATCAAAAGTAAAAACTGATAATAAAGTACATGGGTAGGACCAAGGGCCTTGCCAGTTTATTTGATTTGCCACCAGACAGTACCTGTTTTTAAAGTTTTCAATATAACGTTATTATGAGACTTCACATAAATCAATTGCCGAAAAATGTCCAGTAATTTGTGATATTCGTAAATCAAAAATTGTGAACCTGCATTTAAAATATTAAGTGCACAAATCATACACCAAATTGCATGCAGTTAGTTGAGAGCAACGCTTGCCATTTTTCCCAATAAGTTAAAGTTTAAGTTTAAGTATATAGGTACTACTATCATTATGTGCTATGTATTATATTTATTATTTTAATGTAAAGAATTTTAATTGAATTTGAATTATTAATTGAGTCAAAGTACATACATTTATTTATTTTAAAATATATTCCTCATAATACTTAATATTAATGGAAATAGAATGTTTGGAAAAATGTGTATTCATCAAAGCAAAATGTACCAACAATTGATTGAAAATAGTATGTTTTGATCCAACTGAAAATAAAAAAAGCTATATTTAAGTAGCTACAAAAATAAACTTTGAAAAATACTTTGGCCAACAGATTTGTATCTATTTTAAACAATTTACTTGACATTTATACCTCAATTATTTCATACACAGTAGAAATTACCTCCTGAAAAATTTGTAAAAGACCAATAATGCGTTTTGTTTCGTCACCTCACAATAATTGCTATCTCTATTTCCTGCATACTTCACCAACATTAAAAAATACCACGATATTTTTTCAGAATATATTAATTTTAAAGCGTGTAAGCTTCACTTGTTATTTGATGCTGCAGCAAAGTATCGATGAAAAATTATTTTTTAAATAGTTTATTTATTATTTAATTTAGTTATTATCATGAAAGGTTTAAAATCCTTGGACCATAATTTTGGTCACAAGCAAATTCAACCTAATAAGTTAAAAAAAAAAAAAAATAATATTCAAATACAATGTTGTAACTATAAAATACTTTAGTTCAACAACTTAATTCTTAAATGCTTAAGGTGAATTTCTTTATTATCACAACAAATGTAGGTAATATTAATCTAATTTGATTTTAGAATGTAGATTCATATCAAAATATTATACAAAATGTTAATGCATACTAAAATAAAATATAAAATACATACTAAAAATGTTTACAGTAAAATAAAATTGTATAAAATAAAATATAACCTTTTAGCACATTGTCATCAATTTACTCAGTATTAAACTATAAGCTGAAAAATGTTTACTCTTATACCTATGCATGCTAGGTACTACTTAATAATATGTTAAATTCTAACATGTTTATTTTTTATAGATATTGTAAACGAACGTCTTAATTTTTCTCCAGTCTTTTCCTGGAAAAATATAATGCAAATTTATTAATGATCTGTTAAAATATTTTTGGATTAAATTGGTACATTACCTGTCATAGTTTTAGTGTTTTTCTTAATGAAATCTTCACATTCATTTTTTTTTGGAGGAATTTTTAAAAGAACATGTTTTTGAAAGTATTTAGTAGTTAAATTTTTTTGATCTTCTGTCCATGGTACTCTGTTAAATTTTTTCTCCTTGCATATTCTTTTATTATTTCTAGTTGTTCGAGGTTGAGGTGTGGTCGGTGTGGATTTTTGTGGTTGTGCTGTTTTTGGTTGTGGAGAAATTGATTCTATTTCAATATTTTCCAGGTCAGTGGTTTTTAGAATAGTTTCTTCTGTGTTGTCTTCCTCATCTGAACCACTGAAATCGGTGTCGCTATTGCAGCTTTCCTCTGACACAAGTCCATCTACATTTACATCAATTTCGTCAAAGTTCTTCCCTCTGTATTTTTCTGCTTCTCCCTTTTCCATCATGAGTAAGAACTTACTAACCTTCGCAATTTGAAATGTGCTTTCCGGCAATCTATAAAAGGATTTGTGTATCTCCTTTGAATGGCCCATAAAATTAGCTAATTGCTCAACATCTCCATCATTAAAATTTAAGAGCTGAGCAACTGTAGCTACTTGTTTGCGCAATTTTGTCGATGTTAAAGCTGATGGGTTCTTGGCACCACTAGCATTTGCCATTTTCCTAACAACTTCAGAAGCTCTTAGACTACTTCCCTCGTTGTTCGGAACTGCAAATAAAAACTCATTTTTTTCATCACAAAAATGTTTACGAACATGAATTAGTACTGATAAATTTTTTTGCATTTTTGGTGTAAATAAAATGGGTACACCTCTACCTCTTTTACCTCGAATTACAATTCTTTTAAATTTTTTGGTTAATTCGAGTTCAACTGCAGAAAGTGATAGTTTTATTTCTTCTTGCGGTACTTCATTTGTGCAATTTAAATAAGTTTTTAATAGCATCCGTTGTACTTCACCTGCACGTCTACGGTTTAATAAAATTAATTGAGTAAGAACTGTATCCTGTAATGCCCTAAAAGACATTAAATCCATTGGATTTTTCTTCAAATTAGTCAATGCTGTTTTTTCTACAGATAATAAATGGTTTCTAAAAATCTTTATATCTGAGGTTAATGGTAAAAATGCCGGCTTGTTCCATTTTTTTTGGTATAGTTCTTTTGATGCGTTGGTAGATAATTCATAGGACCATTGTTTGGTTATTAAATTTTCAACGCTCTTGATATTTGAAATATCTTGATTGGTGTTTGTAGAAGGAGTCAAAGATGTAGACTTTTTTAAAAGTAAATACTCGGCAATGTCACAACACTGTTTTAGGGATGTCCCAAGTTTCAGGACCAATGATGGTGCTCCGAATTTGTCAGACTTATCGTCGTATCCAGCAACAACTTTTGTACAATATATGATCTTATCAAATAACTCAGGCTTCAGACAATCTTGTAGTGATTGACAATTCTTCTCAGACTTACGCATGGCCAACAAAAACCTACCAAGTTCTCTCATTTTATTCGACACTACTGCAATTAAATGTTTCTCTCTATGACATTTTATGTACCTCGTACCAAAAGCACGAATTAGTGGATCACTTTTGACAACCAAAGATATTTCGTCAGGTGCCATTCTAGGGAACACTTCTTCAACTAGCCTGGTATCCTCGCTTGAAAAAGCCAACAAAAGTGATTGAGCATTTGCCTGAATGTTTTTCCGTTTACCACCAATTTCGTCTTTTTTTAAAGTACATTTTTTTATATGTCGCCTCAGATAGTTCTTTTTATACAGTCCAAAACAAAACTTACAAGGTAAAAAGTTTTTTGCTGTTGATGGTTCACCGAACTCATTAGGCCTTCGTACAGTTTTGATTTTTGGCGCACCACCTATGTTATTAAAAAAATTACCTCGCTTACGTAGTTGGTCAACCATATTTTTTCGCTCTTTTGAACCTTTCTTTAGAGCTAAATATTTTCCAACTTCTGTTTCTTCAGAATGTTTTCTTGTGAGGTGCCGCGTAAAGTTGGTAACTTGTTCTTCACAAAATAGACATGAATCCTTTTTATCCCAAATTCTTTTATTTGAAAGGGCCGTCTTTTTGGACATTTCTACAGGCGCTGTGTAGTTGTAATCTACGGCTTTACTTTGCACTGATGTTGATGGTATTTCGAAATCCAGCGATTTTACACTTGTTTCTAAGTTAATCGATGTTTTTGACGAATTTTCGTGTTCATCTACAGATGAAGTACTATGTGCGGATAGCTTATAAGACGACTCAGAATCTTCATAGACTGACGAAACGGAAAGTTCATCTGATGCGGGCATTGTTTTCAAATCAGCAAAGGTCAATGATGAATCTAAAATAATAACAACAATTAAAGCTAGTGTAAAAATATTATAAAATTATTGATTTTTAAAATTGATGAACGTTATAGGTTTTATAAACCCGTTATTAAAATACACGATCTGTTAATACTTGATTGGTAAATATTAAACATTCCAATTTGTCATAATAATAATTATTTATTTGTACAAATATAAAATCCAAAACAGAATATAATAATAGTACTATCATATAGTATTTATCATATCGCGGTGGGTTCAGATTTCTATTATAAAATACAAATTATACGCAAGCATGAATTTAGTGTATCGTTATGAGATTCGAAATTAAATTTCATAATACAGGCAAAAATTGCGTATCGTTATGAGATCCGAATTTAAATTTAATAATACGGGCAAATATGGTGTATCGCTATGAGATCCAAAATGAAATTGAATAATATAGTTGAATATGGCGTATCGTTATGAGATCCGAAATTAAATTGAATAACATAGGCAAATATGGCGTATCGTTATGAGATCCGAATTTAAATTTAATAATACGGGCAAATATGGTGTATCGCTATGAGATCCAACATGAAATTGAATAATATAGTTGAATATGGCGTATCGTTATGAGATCCGAAATTAAATTGAATAACATAGGCGAATGTGGCGTATCGCTATGAGATCCATCATGAAATTGAATAACACAGGCGAATGTGGCGTATCGTTATGAGATCCAAAATGAAATTGAATAATATAGTTGAATATGGCGTATCGTTATGAGATCCAAAATTAAATTGAATAACATAGGCAAATATTGTGTATCGCTATGAGATCCATCATGAAATTGAATAACACAGGCGAATGTGGCGTATCGTTATGAGATCCAAAATTAAATTGAATAATATAGTTGAATATGGCGTATCGTTATGAGATCCGAAATTAAATTGAATAACATAGGCGAATGTGGCGTATCGTTATGAGATCCGAAATTAAATTGAATAACTTAGGCGAATGTGGCGTATCGTTATGAGATCCAAAATTAAATTGAATAACATAGGCAAATATTGTGTATCGCTATGAGATCCATCATGAAATTGAATAATACAGGCGAATGTGGCGTATCGTTATGAGATCCAAAATTAAATTGAATAACATAGGCAAATATTGTGTATCGCTATGAGATCCATCATGAAATTGAATAATATAGGCGAATGTGGCGTATCGTTATGAGATCCAAAATTAAATTGAATAATATAGGTGAATATGGCGTATCGTTATGAGATCCGAAACTAAATTGAATAATACAAAAAAACCTAGAACATTTTATTATATCTCACAGGCCAAAAAATTATTTTATTTTGTATATTAAACAGTTAAATTTATTACAGTTAACACAAATATAATTTGATATCTTAACTTTGTATCTATTAAATTAGAACTGTCAGTGTTATAGTAGTTTCAATATAATTGAATATTGTTTAACAGTTATCATGTACCTATGGGTTTTTTTGTAAAAAAATTTAATTGAGACACTCTTTGCAATATATTCTTTTTAGAAAATTTCATAGTTAAGTAAATCTTAAATTATTTATTATCTTTAATATTTTGCTAAAGGATTAGTATCGTTTATCTCAAGTTAATGATAGCCATACAATGGTAACTACTAATTAACTGTTTGTCTGTTTATTGTTAATATTTCCATACTAATTGGATATCACATCTACCGCACTTCTGTCGCACCTGAATCCCGAAGACAGGGAAAATATACAATATTTCAGTTATAATAAAACTTTATAAAAATTAACAATTTAAACCTTTTATAGTCAATATTATTTATTGAGTTTTTTAACTTAAAATGGAAAATTTAACATTTTTCTAATATAAAATTTCTATGCTATATTTAATGAATTTTATATAATTTGCTTAGACCATGTTCAAAATCGTTCCTACGGTTTTTAGCCTTAAAATATAATACTACTCATGAGCCACATTATCATTATCAGCCATTATTAAATATTTTGTTTCACATTGTTGGTTTGTCAGAAAGAAGAAAAATAAATGATTTTATTTAAACTTGTAAATGGTTGTATTGATTTTCCAAAACTATTAATTTTTCTTAATTTTAACGTCCCTCAGTGAAGAGCTAAGTACACTACTATTTTTTTAATGTATTTTCACAAAGAACAAACTAGGCTTTAGCTTCACATATCAATAGAATGATATCATTAAAGAATGAAACAAAAATTGAACTATTCAACTTTATTTCCTTGGAATATTTTAATAGCAATATTTAAAAGCAATACTAAAAATCCAATGTGGCTAAGCTAAAACGAATTTAGATGTACCTAAGTAAACATTGTTTATTGAATAAATTCTTATTATGTAAATATTTTGTACTAGTTTAGATATAACTGTATAACTACAGGGTTATATTTTATAGGTAGGTAATATGTTATAATAAATATTAAATTATGCCCGTAATCATAAACTGAGTTTTTAAAATATAAAATAAAATATAAGTTCATAGTTTTCAGCTAAATTAAATAATTTAAAGTAAGATACATTATGTCTTAATGGTAAACAGCAATTGATCAATGTTCATATAGATGTAACTAACTGAAAATATATCTGGTGAATATTATTTTTATACTGAAGACTTATTCATATCTAAACTATCACACAATCCCATCTAATGCTGAATAAAATCAGGGCCAGACTTGCTCTAAAAGGCCTACCGTGAGTTTTAGTTTAAAAGGCCCTCAAAATATATCCATATAGGTACTTACACGTTAGTTATTCAATGTTATTATTTTATTTACTTAATTAATAATTGAACTAACTAGTTATTAATATTTAGACATTGACCATTGTACACATTACTAGTGTATTTAGCCATGGCCCATGAGTTTAGGTATAATACATATTATGGAAAAAAATTTTTATTATTATTTTAAGTACTAAATAAATTATAATATATTGATGTATAAATTTGGATATTCTAACATTAGATAGGTAGTAGGTACATATTAATCTGCATTAATTAATAGATGAATATTATTTAGCCATTAGGTACTACATATTTTAAATTTTTAAGATATTAGTACGAATAGGGAAATTGTAAGATGCTTAATATTGATATAGCACTTTTTTTTGCCAGAAAATAACCTTAAATTCCGTGGTCATCGAGAAAGTTTTAAAAAGATAACCAAGGCAATTTTATAAATCTAGCTCGAGTAATATCAAAATATTCACCATGTTTATCTGCTTACATAGAAAAATCAGTTTATCAATTATCTACTATATTTCTTTTGATAGATACAGCTTTAAAAATTATTTTGACCTAGCCAGTTGCAAGCGCATTAACAGAACGCAGCTTTTTCAAACTAAAAATAATAAAAAATAGACTTCGGACAACAGTGTCACAAGATAGGTTGGATGATTTGATGATCATAAGTTGTGAGAAGGATATTTCTGAAAGTATTAATCATGAAGAAATACTAAAAATATTTTCTGAAAAAAGTAGTTTTAAGCAAACATTTAATTTAATTACCAATCTATTTGCTGTAATAGTTGTATTAATTTTTTTTAAATTAATAGGTTATGTTAAATTTTGTTTTGTTAATTGTAATTTGTTATACCTATGAATAAATAAAGATTTTATACAAGTAATACAGTAATAGACATAGTATATTATATTATTATTGAATGCTCTAATATATTACCTATAGGTAGTTAAATTCTTCCTGAAATTATTTATTAGGTATATCTAAATGTTAAACTTATGTTATGCCTTGTGATAATGTAATATACTATCATTTTTTACATATAAAATACATATTATATACAATATTGTATGAGTATAGTATTGTACAATATATATTTTTCAATTTGGTTGTTCTTGTTATAATTCAAAGTAATACGTTAACTGTTAAGTATAATTAACTAATTTATAAAATAGAGGGTTATATATATATATATTTTTAATTAATTCACAGGTATATTTTGATAACACCCAAAAATTGGAACAATATGTGAACCAGTACCTACCCACTGATAGAATATTAGTAATTTGTATTTTCTAATAATTATTTTAAGGTAGGTGGGTGGGTATGTGTTTTTGAAATATTTTCAGCAACACATACTATTTTGAGGATAGCCGCCACTGCCTAATATTATCAATTACGTTTGGTTCATTGTTATTTGTTTATTTACTTTTAGTTCTTAGCAATTTTGTTGGAAGATATAGGTCTCAACATTTTTAATTGTACTAATCACTAAGATTAACTTCTAATTAGGTAACAGAATAATAGATAAAATAAGATCACAAGCCAGGAATAAAAGATTTTAACTTGATTAATTTTCCAAAAAGGTAATTTTCTATACTTCGGATCAACAGCTTGTATTACTCTTAATAACAATTTTTCTTTTCTCATTAAATTTTTTATAAATTTTACTCATGTTTTTAAATGTTCCTAAAATTAATTACAATATTATATAAAATATAAGATATAATGTACCTACCACCTTCCTATATCTGTTGGTAAGCAATTAAAACACCAATATATTTGTTATAAATGACTATATTAATAAAAAAAATGTGATTTGATGTTAAATACTGTTATGTTATAATAATGATATGACACCATGGACTTCGCAAGTTCACAGATATGCACAATATGCATTTAAATATAAGTAAATCATAGGAATCATAAAATATTTTAGAGAAGGGCAGAGGGCCCATACCGTCGAGGGCCTACCATGCATTCGCACATCTACACTACATAGGCCAGTCCGATCCTGAGTAAAATGTATAAGTTACTAAAGAAAATATAAACCACATAGGTAAATACACTGAAATAAGATATACAATTTACATAGTAATAATAACAAATATGATTCACTAATAAATAATAATTAGAAGTGTGAATATGGATTATGAACTCAGAACTCTTTTAACTAATACAAGTAGGTACACAAGATTTTTAAAATTTTTAAAATTTTTAAAATTTTACCTGAACATTGACGGTTTTCTGTTTCAATATCTTGGGATTCAAAATATTTTCTCACTTTAAATTTTACTAAAATGAAACATATTATTTAACATTTTATAACCATTGTTGATTAAATTAGTAAAGTAAAATAATGTATTACCTGTTGAATCGACATCATTGTTTTCCTCGCTATTAAAATTATATATCTCAGCATTTGCATTCATGTCTATGTAAAAATAGTTAAGTACTCAAATTAATTAAGTTACAAAAATGTGAGAGGCTCTCACAGAATTTTATGTGTAAACATGACTTAAACTTGACTCGTTAACGTTCAGTTTTAGAAAAATAATGTCAAGATTATAAGGTTTTGATTGATAGAAGATTTAAGTATAATTTATATGATTAAAACAAAACATTAAATTATCATAAAAACATAAAAATGTATTAATTGTATAGGTACTTCTATTAGGTAGGTATGCATACAATTATTAATCTATAATTTATATAATAAATAAAATAAGTTATAAACTTGCAACTATTTACCCATCAATACGTTTAAATATTTTAACTGTTCTCTTACCTTGATTCCTGGTACCCACTGTCTTCGCCATTTCAAATATCTTGTTTGATCTTGTAGATCTCATATTTATTTTATAATGGATATATTTAAATATAAATAATATTTAACTGTAGTATTATGTATTATGTAATATTAAATCAAAAATACTTGGTAACATACGATAACACTGTCACAAAACTACACAAGTCACTGATCAGTAAAAGTCACTAAGTTGTAAGACCACTATGGCACTATGACGGAAGACCGTATACAGACTACAGAGACTGCAAGGAGGCAATTGAGCGAATGTAGATATTAGATAATATTGTTATTACAATATAAAATAATAATACACTAACCTATAATTTTAGATTTATTATTATTTATTATTTATAACTTATAAATAATTATTTCGTATTTTTATCCTTCTACGGCCGAATTTGCCCGTTTAAATATCTGTTATCAGCTGATTAAGCTTAATCTTAGTTTAATCATAGACGGTACAACAAACTGGCCCTAAATACGTAGAAGTACAGTGTACATGCTATCATATTCATTGTTCGCATAATATATAGATATCTGTGGTTCACATAGACTATAGACTCTATACTATACTCTATAGATGACAATATAATATTATTGCAACAACAACTAAAACAACGTCCTTACGTCCCTATTTCGTGCTGACGAAAAAGTTATTTTTAGCGATGAATATAATGAATTATGATTTTAATATTTTACAGTAGTATATATTTGTATCTTCTGAGCACCTTTTTTACAGGGAAATTTCTTCAGTTCAAGCCGGCATTTCTACATGCTCCACCGTGCTTTTCTGAACACTTTTTTTTTAACCAGGGAGATTTCTTCAGTTCAAGCGGGCATTTCTACATGCTCCACCGTGCTTTTCTGAACACTTTTTACAGAGAGATTTTTACAGGGAGATTTCTTCAGTTTAAGCGGGCATTTCTACATGCTCCACCGTGCTTTTCTGAACACTTTTTACAGAGAGATTTTAACCAGGGAGATTTCTTCAGTTCAAGGGGGCATTTCTACATGCTCCACCGTGCTTTTCTGAACACTTTTTACAGGGAGATTTCATCAGTTTAAGGGGACATTTCTACTTACTCCACCGTGTATTTCTGAACATTTTTTTTTTGCAGAGATTTTTTACAGTTTGAAGTGTTACATTTTTCATTAATGTATTACTCACACATATATACTACTTTTTACAATGACATTTTTAATTTACATTTTTTCGGCAATAATTAAAACGCAGCGGAATACGCCGTGTATAGCCCCGGCCTAAAATAAATTACTTTAATAGCAATAAAACAATCGATTATCTAGTAATATCTGTCTAGTAAGTACTGTCAAGTAATATAGGCTACTAGAAGGTCATCGCTCTGAATCGTTATAACTTATTAGTTATTAGTTAATTGTATACAATGATTTTATATTGAGTTCAATGATATAAAATCCATTACAGTGACTTCTTGACATATTCTATTGTACAGCAGAGCGGTACTCACCTGCCCACCTTTTTTGTATGATTTATTTTTTTGTCAAAAATTATCTGAACTAACCGTGTAACTAATAAGATAAATAACTACCTAGTATAAATATAATATAACTGATACTATAATAGTATTGATAATATTACAATAGGCATTTTATTTATTAAAATGTGATTTTTTTATTGTATCTAATGTGGCTTAAAAAGAAGCAGTGTTGAAATTAATTATTAAACATTTTTTGTTTACCTATTTATTTATTTATTGTATAATAGGGTAGTTACCATCTAAATAGTATTCATAGTACCTATATGGAACATACTATTATATTTTATAGAATTGTTCTAGTCTTCAAGATTCAACAAAGATGTATATTATATAATATATATATTAATATTCTTATAGAATTACTTACCTATATAATTTTGGTAATAATTGATAATAATTTGAATTATTCATATAGTGGCACAGGCACTGTGGTTAGGTAATGTGTAATACGCATCGCAGGTATTCGTACTAAAGTTTTACCGTAACATATATAAAAGAAAACTTGAGAACATAAACGTATCTAGATTTACCAATAATTCCCTCTCATATTTTAAAATAATCACATTTACAACGTTTAGACCAGCCACGGATCCAGAGCAAAGATCTGGGGGGGGGGGCAAAATTTGTTTACAACACAAATACAATTACAATAAAATATAATACTTTACTAAAAATGTCGCCATAATAGTAGGTACCTATAGGTAATCAATGTGATAAATAAATTATTGATTATTTAATATATAAAATGACAATGTTAAAAGAAGTTTAGATTTTGTTTATTTGTTATTTAATATATATTATATAGTATTTATATTTAAAAAAATTATGTCTGGGGGGCTGGGCCCCTAGGCCCCCTCCCTGGATCCATTCTGGTTTAGACCATAAGTCACAAAAGTAATAATTAAAAAAATTGTTTTTCTATTCAAAATTTGAAACTAGCTTTTCCATGTGAATCAGTATTGTGTTGAGTACCTACCTAATGAATTCTCTGACAATACATATTACACCAATAATTATTTTTGCGTAGTACGGTGTAATACAGTACAGATATTATATTATTATACTTCAGTTTAAACGAATAAACTTGCATATAACACAGATAACTTTTTGATACAATATTTGTCTGTGTATATTTTATAATAGGTACATATTGGGTTAGTTTACAATTTTCCAATTTAAAATGGCATGTTGGTACGATTACCAATTAAATATTGCAATATTGTACAAAAATAATATAGTCATTTTTTCTCAGTCACGCAATTAGCCTTTAATATTTTTCTTAGGAGGGAGGGATAAGTAGTAGATATCTGATATACGAAAAATGTCTAAAAAAATCTAATCATAATTAATTACAAGTAGTCTTTTAAGAACTTAACTTTTTTAAACCATCTTAAAAAACTATATACAATACAGTTTGGTATGTAATCCAATATTGTGTAAAAATATTCCACAAACGATATTTAAATAATTATACTACTTAACAACTATGTTTATTAAATGTAAATAAAAATGTGTTTTAAAGTAATAGTTAATAGTTATGCTTATGATGATAAAAAAATCATAAATTCAAAGTTATGGAAATATTATCAATTCTAATCTTTAAATGTGATATTATAGAACTTAGAGAAGTCTACACCTACTCTATTCCCCGTAAATTTACCCATTTTTTTTTTTGCGCACACAGAGTAGGTATGGTAAAAACGTGACAATACAGTTCTCTATCTATACACCATGGTATTTTGCGGCGTGAAACTGTAGAACTACAGTGAACTGTAAAGGTATTGTAATTTGTAACAACGTTTTCACCATACTCTGCGTGCGAAAAAAACAAAAAAGTTGTTAAACTTACAGTGAATAGAGTACCTCTATAGTACCTATAGTAGTAAATAGTAAAATATACATTATACTATAATATGATTTAATTATGTATTTATGTACCTATGTAACGTCACACAATCGTTACACCTATATAGACATATCACATATTATAGTAGTTATACTTTACTACTTAAAAAATCATATAATTAATTATGTAATGTTAATGTAATTATGTAATAAAAAGGATGGACAAGTGGCACCTCTCTACTGTACAGTAGTTGTTGAGTATGTCATTGTAATGCGGATATGTTATATTTGAATTCAATGATAAATCATTGGATACGAAAAACGATTCTGAGCGGAGAACTTAGACTAGGCCTAGCTCAGTGGCACCGAACACGTAAAGCTTCTGGGGTAAATACCCCATAACTTTTGTAGGTATGGGTGGGTAGGTAGGTTACTCCTTAGTCCTTAGTGCTTTAAGGTCTTGTTGAATTCAATAAATTACTATTAAATATACAATATCGTAAAAATTATATATTCAAACGCTCATAAAAAGTAATTATGATAAAAAAGGTCTATGTACGAATGTACGATTAAAATATGTACTGTATCGGTGAGGTATTCTTATATTTATATCCATGTCTATGATTTATTATCGATTTTATCTAAATCAGCATCGGCGTCGCGAGATAGTCGAGATAGCAGAATTGAGACATGCGGTAGTAGGGATAACAGAAAAATACCGTAGATTATTATATTATTACCTATAATAGTATAGAACTGTTCCGAAAAAATTCGAGACTAAATATTATGTGCATAATATGTGTTACATGTAATACTATAATAAATTATAATAGTTATTAATATTTATCGTAATCTGATATAAATAGATACGCGGCCGTCCCCGTTGGCCGTCGTTATCGAATGCGGGGCAGGTTGGCAGTTGCCTAGTAGCGCGAATATTATTGTTAACTGAACGTCGGCAAGTCGCACTCTGCAGATCGTATATTATTAATTATTATGAAAATAATAATATGGTTATACAATTTATAACATAGTAGGTAATATAGAAAATAATAGGATCTCGTATAATTGGTGTACAACTGATGAACACACAGTGCGATGTTGCCGCTCTCATTTAAATATATGGAGCTCGCAAGATGCACTACATAAAACGGCGAGTATACACAAATACAATTGAACATAGTAAAATACACACAGGCGCACACACAAAATTTATAAAAAAGGTCATTGTGAGATCCGGCTATTTTACGCGGGTAATCACTCAAGGACAACTCTAATGCACAGAAATAGAGAAAACGTTGCGAGATCCACCACTTCGGATCTCACAACGAAAACGGATCTCGCAACGCTGCTCGTTTTCCATACGCTGGATCTCACAAAGTACCATAAGTAGACGCACACACACACACAATTATTATACTACCTAACTATATAAACTAGCTAATATAAATACAATAATTCTGATTAAAAAAAAGCATGACTTTGGAAGTGGTCTCTGTATTGGTGAATATAAATGGTAATATATTATAATTTATGTACAATGCAATTCTATTTCGGCTGTAGAGACTCGAGACACAAAATACAATGAGTATGTTTAGGTAGATATTTCGTATTTCCTTGTAGGTAGTGTCTTATTTCTCGATGGGATACTACCTACACCCTATATAATTTGAAAACAATC